TTTTTTTTTTTTTCGAAAATATCGTGCATATTTGGAAACTAGAAGTTGAAAATGTAACTTTTACTATTTTTTAAGCTTAGCCAATCATGCTTGTAGAATATGAGAATTGAAGTGGAACACAGCTTAGATGCTGTCATGAAATAATAATATTACCAGGATGGAATTGTATCCGGTTCCTATGTTCATATAGATGGTCCCGATGGAAAGGGTCACCATAATGTAGATTCCAAGCCTCAACCAGTAATAACCAAAGTCCCTAGACATATTAACAAAAGAACGTTTGGTTAAGATGAAGGCCTGCATGAAGAAACTAGCATGACTCCCTCTTGAATCGAGCACCATTCCTTTCTGCAGAGCGGTTCAATATAAATTACCAGGGAAGATTGAAAAGCAGATGATAGATTCAAATTAAGGCTAAAAGGGTGCCTACAATTGTGGACATCTCATCGATCTTTTCTTTTGCTGAAAAATAATAATGAGACGTATGATAAGAGTCAACAAGTGTGTGGATAGCCTCAGCTGTAGTTACTTTGTCTAGAGGGTCATCATTTCTCTCAATCTGATGGCAAAAAAATTAAAGAGTTGTTAAAACATGAATTCGGAGGAAAAATTAATGAGCATAAAAAATAGTGACGAACAATTTGTGCTAAAAATAGCAGATTTCAAAGTGAGTTCATTTTCATTCAATAGTTTGCCATAGCGACCAAAGCATTTTCCTTCTGTTCTAATAGTGATCTTCCTACATCTTTCGTATTTAGTGTAACTGGTTAACAATCTTGTCCTCGTAAACATGACATTCTAGTATGAAGCTAGCAAGATGGTTTTACAAAATTTCATCCGAAAATGTTCCAAATATCTACACGAACCAATAACATTCTCAGCTTCTTGTCTGCTTAATGCTGGGATATCGGGCTTTCACTGTAATGATGTGAATAAATATCTTATCCATATTTGAAATATCACACGATTACAACATTCTCGCATATTTGGATGATGAATAACCACATGGGATAACTAAGACAGCCTACAGAAAGCAGGCCAAAGACAATTAATATGAACTAGATTTCTTGGTGTAGATCGGCTGAACTGCCAATGATGGAAGCTCAAATGTGTGCTTGTTCTGCAGTGTTATGCATAAAGGCCATGAGAGAACCCGTCAACTGTGTCCGTAGAACTAACAAACGATCTAATCCGAGGTTATGGAATTCATTAAGAGGTCTTCCATCAGAAGCACTACCACATTGTATTAACAATCAATTATGTTAATTGACACTCTAAATACATGAATATGATTTTATGGATTAACTGTTTTAAATGAAATTAGTAATTTTTAGAGTGTAGGATATGATAGAGAGAGACCAATATTTTGCATGAAGAACATAAACCACAGCCACAACCATCAATTATCCTCGTCCAATCAGGAGTTTATTTCAACATGATCGGAAAGCATGGGGAAAGAATTTGATACCTGCAGTTTCATTGATCCTTTCAAAGATGCTTTAACTTTGTCAAAATCAGAATTTACACATCGGAGAAAATGATCAGATGGGTTTCTGAGAGCAGGACAAGGAAAGCCAGCTTGCGCAAAGAACTGAACACACCAATTAACAGAAGATATCCATTCTCTGTAAGAAAATGTACTTCACTGAGTGAAGTAGCAGAAAAGAAAAATAATAGGATCTTGCCTCACACGCTTCTGAAGCCTGACCAAAGTAAACCGTTTTGCCTCCAGAAAGTAAGTACAATCGGTCGAATAGCTCAAAAACTTCACTGCTAGGCTGGTGAATTGAGGCTATGACAGTCCGCCCACCTCTAGACAGGGCACGTAGTGTCTGAGTTACAAAGAAAGCAGAAGCACTGCCCAAAGAATAAATCAGCGAAGAGCTCAAATGAGATATCATTACAGAAAGAGAGGGCCCATGAAACAGCATCACAGGATAAACACGATTCAAAATTAGTTTCTAGGACGAACATGTAGGCCCGAAATGACAATGCTCAATTGTTTGCATAGCGTAAGAGTAAATTCATACGAGTATTACTAATTAAAAATCATCAGCTATTTTCAGCTTTCACAACAAATACAAAGCGTCTCATTCCCCGTCTCCACCACAAGAGTTATGAAGGATCAGAGAATATTAATGCTTAACCTGTCAAGTCCAGTGGTTGGCTCATCAAGAAAAAGCAACTTCGGCCTCATAAGGATCTCAAGTGCAATGCTGAGCCTCTTCTTTTCCCCACCACTGATGCCACGCAAGTGCCAATTCCCAATGACGGTGTTCGGCTGTTCGCACAATCTTGAAGACCCAGTTCTACGATGGTGCTCTCAACCAATGCATATATCTCCGATATGGGCTTTTCATCAGGAAGCCGTAATCCAGCTGAATATGACATCGTCTCACGAACTGTTAGAGTACCAATCAAGTTGTCATCTTGTGTGACATATGCCTGCATTTCAAGCAAGAAGTAAAACTCAAATGTCCATTTAAGTTAATCCGGATAGTCGGCACAGAGATTTAATCTCAACTAAACCTGAAATTCACCCATTGCCTAATAGAAACGAAGACATCCCAGTTGATTTAGACAATAGTCTCCAGGAATTTGTTAGAATTGAACCGGAATAAGTTAAAATATGCAATGTAAGGGAGAATTAGTATAACAAAAATGGGGACCGGGAAAGACAAGAAACTTAAATAAATACTCACAGCAGTCCCAAAAGAGAGCTTGGCTTTACGGCCATTGAGGAAAATGGTCCCAGAAAGGAATGCGTTCGCAGGAAGGCGGCCGAAGAGGGCGTCTAACAGTGTAGATTTGCCCGATCCAGAGGGACCCATTACACAAGTAGACGTTCCTTCCTCAGCATATCCACTCGCTCCCTCCAAAACATTCTGCAATTCTCCATTTCTACAACTAATAATCACACTTAAATCCTTCCAAGCGAGCCTCGACGGAACATCTTCCACCAATTCAGGACTCAAATCTCTTTTGTCAGCCTTAATCTCCATTGTTACGGCATTTTCTGAGTTCTTCGTCTCTGATCAGTTCCTGGCTTCTTTCTATCACTCAGTCGGACTTTGGAAATTGGATTTTATCAATAGTGCGGATATTGTGAATTTGACTGGCCATGAAGGAAGATTACAAATCCTCGTCCTCATCCTCAACTCCATCTCAAGCCAAGACACAATACTAGCAAACGATCAACCACCACCATCCTCAAATTCATTAATTTCGTGTTGTAAAGAAGACAAGAAAAGAACGTCATCATCAAAAAATTTCCCAGTCTCTTCCATTGCTTTGTGTGCGGGTAGGTGGTAGTGCGAAGCATTTACTGCCGAAGATAGCAGCATCCAGAACCAGAAGAGTTACAATTACACGCTGTGTACGTATGAACGTTGGAAGATGACCGGTTTTGTTTGGTAAATTTGACATTCGAGGGTTAAATCCAACACAAGTTTATGCTCTCATCATTTTTTATTTTGTTTCATCACAATCACCAACTTTATAGTTATACTGCTATGATGATCCAATTTGATTTAACATTCCACCATGATCCCTCAATCGTATATAACATTTTACTATGTCCACTTAACTTTTTTTTAATCATTTTCATTAATTGTAAAAGGGCTGAAATTATAATTTTATATCATATATATAAAATATAAAAAATGTAAACAATAACTTAATTTTAAAAAATAAAATAAAATGAAAACTTATTTTTTTAAAAAAAGTTACTTATAAAAATAAAATAAAATAAAAATTTATTTTTTAAAAAAAGTTTTAAAATTAAAAAAAAAAACTTTTATTTTTGTTTTTAAATTTATTTTATATATATAATACAAAGTTACCGTTTTACCACTTAGTGAAAATTGGGTGGTCGTGATGAAATATTATATGAAATTAAGTGAGCCGATGAAACGTTATATGAAATTGAGTGGCCATAATAAAATAAATAAAATAGGATGGTGATAGTGACATCAAATATAAAGTTGGATAATCATAGTGACACTAAGAGTATGTTTGGGACTGATTAAAATTGAAAATATAGCCGTTATTGGATCTCACTTGTCTAATAAAAGTCAACAATAACGGTTAGTTTTTCAATTTTAATCCGATTTTAATATCTACCGAACACGCTCTAAGTATAAAGTGGGATGGTCATTGATGAATTTAACCAGACATTTGATCATTGTATTCTCGGCAAAATCTTGATTGGATCACTAAAATTTTAATATATTTCAATTGGATCGCTAAATTTCAGCTTAAATCTAAATTTCACCTATACAATCCAATTTTGTCACATATCATCCCGAAAGTTGAAATTGCTTAACCATAATCTTTAAAATAATTGCAAAAACGATAAAATAAAGATTATGACAACGTCTTTTAAAGCAAAAGATTTGGTGATTTATTGACATGATTGCGTGAAAGATTTGTTGGTGTATAACGATTAATTAACCATAATTTTTAAAAGAATTGCAAAAACGATAAAATAAAGATTTTGACAATGTCTTTTAAAGCAAAAGATTTGGTGATATACTGACATGTCACGTACTGATTGCGTTAAAGATTTGTTGGTGTATAACGACTAATTTAAGTAATTTTCATCAATTTTGATAAGATTTATGCTGAAAGTACAGGAAAAATTGTACAGAAATTCAACAGATTTTTGAATTTTCAGACACATGGTGCGGGCCCCACATATAAAATATTGAAAAAAAAATTATGTTTCCCGTCCATGAATGTGTGTATTCGGTAAGTACAGAAAATTTGAATTTCTATACTTATAACTCGGTTGTTTTGATAATGATGGGTAGAATGACAATATTTTTCAACCCGTCCAAGGTAAATGAGTAATGCTATTCATCCCTATTGGGAATGAAAATACAGTCTAGGTGGAGTTAATGTGGCATTAAATGATAGGTGAAATTAAATAAGTAATTTAATTTCACCTTTCATTTAACCTATCATTTAAAACCATCTAAACTGTGTGAGGATGAATAACATTACTCAAGGTAAATGGTCCTTGTCCTAGATTTCTCGAGTCCAGATCTTTTTGTTTTATTTTTATATTTTTAATTTAAATCATATTTAGAAAATAAAAATTTAAAAATAAACCGAGTAATCTCTAGATGACAGGTGACAAAGTGGATGCGTAAAAATTCAATGATCCAATTCAAACTTAATTAAATTGAATATTAGCAATCCTATCACTCAATGCTACCCACAAGTAAAACATAAATAAAGGCTTTTATCCATGTATAGACCCGATATTTGCTTCTTAGTTGCTTGGAGATTCTAGACGAGACAAGTTAACATCAATAAATAAAAAGCAATGACGACTTTTCTCAGGAGCCCTGCTAGATGAACAGATAAATAAAGGCTTTCAACCATGTATAGACCCGATATTTGCTTCTTAGTTGCTTGGAGATAGGGCTGGGCAAAATGTCCGAACCGAACCGACCCGAACCGGAACCGAACCGAACCGAACCGAGCGGTTCTTCATAAATTAAATACCCGAACGGGTACCCGAATCGAGAACCGATGGGTTTGGGTCGGGTCTCGGGTCTAGACCAAGAACCGAAGAA